CCTGCGCACCGGCGACCGCACTGGAGAGCAGTGTGGCGGCCTGCACGCCACCCAGCGCTGCTTCGGTCGCCTGACGGACGCCTGGTGTGCCCAGTTCCCGGACGCCACTGAGATCCCTCGTTGGCATGACCTGCACAGGTCGGGGGTAGCTATCTTTGATCTTGACTTTGATGCTATTCTTGCTGCTATGTATGCTGTGTCTATTAGTGCTGAGGGTGAGTGTTACGTGTGTGTTCCGCCTGACCCTGGTATTGAGGCTGCTGCTCTAGGTGCTAGTGAGTCTGCTGCTCCAGGTACTCGTGAGTCTGCTCCTCTAGGTGCTGGTGAGTCTGCTCTCTCAGGTACCGAGTCGGCTCAGGTCTTTCACAACTTCACCCTCGACTCGGGTGCTTCCCGCTCCTTCTTTCGAGACCGCACCACCCTTACGCCGCTCAGTCGGCCGGTTGCGGTCTCCCTGGCAGACCCCTCTGAGGGTCCTGTCCTTGCTCGCTACTCCACTGTCCTCCCGTGTCCGGCGGCCCCGTCAGGCTCCCTGTCTGGTCTCTACCTCCCCTCGTACTCCACGAACTTGGTGAGTGGTGCTGACCTTCAGGATGCCGGAGTTGACCAGTTCACTCCTGCACGGCAGCGAGTGACCCACTGCTCGTGTGCTCAGACGGGCCGCCACTTGGCCACGTTTACCCGTCGACCGGGGTCGAGCCTGTACACACTGACCACAGAGTCTCGTCCGGTTGCTGCGTCTGGTCAGGTAGCTGCGTCGAGTCAGGTGTTTGCTGCGGCGTCTCGGTCAGGTCCTGAGTCTGCCCCCTGCTCGTGTCGCCTCCTGTCCCACCAGACCCTCCTCTGGCACCACCGACTTGGTCACCCCTCCTTACCTCGTCTCCGTGGTATGGCCTCCCGTGTCCTTGTCTCTGGTCTCCCCCGGTCCCTCCCTCCCCTTCCCCCGGGGCCTGCCCCTACCTGCGTTCCCTGCGTCGAGGGGCGGCAGCGCGCCGCTCCTCACTCCTCCGAGTTTCCCCCCACAGAGGCTCCACTGCAGACTCTTCACATGGACGTGTGGGGCCCAGCCCGCGTCCGTGGACAGGGTCACGAGCGTTACTTCCTGCTGGTGGTTGACGACTACTCGCGTTACACCACAGTCTTCCCCTTGCGCAGCAAGGGTGAGGTCACTGAGGTGTTGATCGACTGGATCCGCGTTGCTCGTCTCCAGCTCAGAGAGCGTTTCGGCTCGGACTTTCCTGTTCTGCGTCTGCACTCCGACAGAGGCGGAGAGTTTTCCTCCGACCTTCTGCGAGCCTTCTGTCGTGCGGAGGGCATCCGCCAGACGTTCACGCTTCCGGCCTCTCCACAGCAAAATGGGATTGCTGAGCGCCGCATTGGCATGGTCATGGATGTCGCTCGTACGTCCATGATCCATGCGGCTGCTCCCCATTTTCTGTGGCCGTTCGCGGTTCAGTACGCGGCGCATCAGATCAACCTTCAGCCCCGGGTTTAGGGTTTGGAGCCTGTCGGTGCAGGACCTGGCGGTCCTTCGGGTGCTTTGTCCCGGCGGGAGCTTCCCTCTCCACAGGAGCTGCGCGAGTGGTTTGCTCGCCGCTGGAGCCGTGCTGCTGGAGCTGGAGGTTCTGCTGCTGCTGGAGGTTCTGGAGCTGGGGGTGCTGCTGGAGCCGGTACTGGAGGTTCTGCTTCTGCTGGGGGTGCTGGAGCCACGGGTCCCGGAGGTGCTCTTACTGGAGGTACTGGAGCTGCTGGGCCTGGTGGTGCTCCTGGTGCTGGAGCTACTGGTGGAGCTGGAGCTGGTGGTTCTGCTGGAGTGGGTGCTACTGGAGGTCCTGGAGCCGGAGCGGCTGTGTCTGCTGTTGGTCCTGCTGGAGCTGGAGCTGCTGGAGGTACTGGAGCTGGTGGTGCTGCTGGAGTTGGAGCTGACGCTGGGGGTACTGGTGTTGTCCCTGCTGGTTCTGGAGGTGCTGCGCGGCCGCGGCCGTACTTCGTTCCGCTCCTTGAGCAGGTTCTTGGTCTTCCGCCTTCTCCTAGTCCTGCTCCTTCCTTAGAGTGTCCTCCGCCTGTCCAGTTCGAGTCACAGTTACAGCTGGTCTCCCCTCTGCCTGCTCCTTCTCCCTACTCTGGTCCTACTGGAGGTCTTGCTGAGCGTCGTGCCCCTGAGTCGCGTCCTGCGTCGCCTGTTCGCACTGCTCGCACTAGTCGTCGTGTTCCACGTCTGCGTCCTCCTGCAGTCCCGGGAACGCATCAGATGACACTGCGTCCTTCCACTGCGCCACAGCGTGTCCCTTTGCCATCTCCTCCAGAGTCCTCTCTTCCTGCTCTTGCTGACCCGGCGTCTGACTCCCTTCGTGCTGCCAGTCCTACTGTCACGCGTTTCCTAGCCACTGTTGTCACTGGCCCTTCCTTTGAGTCCACTGCTGCGTCTGCCTTAGTTGCCGAGCTTGTCGACTTCGCTGCTCACTGTCGTCTAGACTACGCCGCTAGTCTTGTTGCTTAGTCAGCGTCTGCGTCTGTCTGTCCTCCGTCCGTCGGGGGTGAGTGTGCTCTTAGCACGGACGTCCTTGAGGACCGACAGGAGGAGTTCCAGTGTTTTGCTGCTGCTTTACCTCATCTCGTGTCCACACTGCTTGCCCCTGAGGGAGACCCGGATGCACCAGACATCCCGACCTCGCGCTCTTACGCAGAGGCGATAGAGGGTCCTTACTCCTCTCAGTGGCAGGCAGCCATGGACGCAGAGATGGCTTCCTGGAAGTCCACAGGCACCTACGTCGACGAGGTTCCCCCACCTGGGGCGAACATCGTCAGTGGCATGTGGATCTTCAGGGTGAAGCGGCCGCCGGGTTCTCCGCCTGTCTTCAAGGCACGTTACGTGGCTCGAGGCTTCAGTCAGCGGCAGGGAGTTGACTACTTTCAGACCTTCTCCCCGACCCCGAAGATGACCACTCTTCGGGTTCTGCTGCACGTTGCTGCTCAGCCTGACTACGAGCTTCACTCCCTTGACTTCAGCACTGCTTTCCTACAGGGTAGTCTGCACGAGGAGATCTGGCTGCGCCGCCCACCTGGCTTCACTGGGTCGTTTCCTCCTGGTACCCAGTGGAGCCTCCGGCGGCCAGTCTACGGTCTCCGCCAGGCGCCACGTGAGTGGCACGACACACTGAGGACTACGCTTGCGGCTCTTGGGTTTGCTCCTTCCACTGCTGACCCGTCGCTGTTTCTTCGCACCGACACCTTACTGCCGCCGTTCTACATCCTCGTGTACGTCGACGACTTGGTGTTTGCTACAGCTGACACTGCTGGACTCGCCCACGTGAAGTCCGAGCTGCAGAAGAGACACACGTGCACAGACCTGGGTGAACTGCGCAGCTATCTTGGCTTGCAGATCACCCGGGACAGAGCACGGCGCACCATCACCCTGACTCAGTCACACATGGTGCAGCAGGTCCTTCAGCGCTTCGACTTCACGTACTCCTCGCCTCAGGCCACTCCTCTGTCTACTCGCCACTCGCTCTCAGCTCTGCCTTCGGATGAGTCCGTAGAGCCGAGTGGCCCGTACCCAGAGCTTGTTGGCTGCCTCATGTACCTGATGACCTGCACTCGACCTGACCTAGCATACCCTCTGAGCATTCTGGCGCGCTATGTTGCTCCTGGGAGACACCGACCAGAGCACATGGCTGCAGCGAAGAGGGTGTTGCGCTACTTGTGCAGTACTTCGGGCTTGGGGCTAGTGCTTGGAGGGCGGAGTCCAGTGGTCCTCACTGGTCACGTAGACGCGTCTTGGGTGGACGACCTGGCTACACAGCGGTCGTCACAGGGTTACACCTTCAGCCTTGGTTCCGGCTCTGTTTCGTGGCGGTCTACCCGCTCGTCTTCTGTTCTCAGCTCCAGCTGTGAGGCTGAGATCTACGCAGGGGCCATGGCTGCACAGGAGTTACGCTGGCTCACCTACTTGCTGACTGACCTGGGAGAGCCGCCTCGTTCTCCTCCAGTTCTGTACGTAGACAACAAGGCCATGCTGGCCTTGTGTCGGGAGCACAGACTGGAGCACAGAACGAAGCACATTGCTCTTCGCTACTTCCTTGCTCGTGAGCTGCAGCAGCGTGGCCAGCTGCGCCTTGCTTACGTGGCCTCTCAGGCCAACACTGCTGATATCTTTACCAAGGCACTTCAGCCTTGTGATCATCAGCGCTTCTGTACTATGCTAGGTCTTGTGCCTACTTGGCCTCACTTGCTTACCTCTTGACTTTGCTTGTTTTGTGATCTGTATATACCTGCACTTGCTTGTTTACCTTTATATATGAACTTGCATGTGAACTGGCCTTGTGGCCTTTGAACCTGTGCTCAGACTGTGTGGTGACGTTGTGATCCACCCTGAGCTTGCTTTGCTTTGCTTTGCTTGACTGGTCTTATGACCCCTAGTTCTCCCCCACTTTGCCTATGGGGGGGGGTGTGTCAGATGTATATGCCTTAGCCTATGTAGGCTGTAGTGGGGTAGACACTAAGGGGTACAGCTTTCATATTTGTATCTCACACTTTCCTAGTCCATTCATTCCTGTTTCTTTCTTCACATATATTTGTCTTCACATTTTGGAATGTCGTTCAGGAGTGATTGTTTATCCACTTTTTGAGGCATCTGCTTGAAATTCGTGCTTCAAAGAGTTCAAAAAGATCATTTCTGAAATGATATCCCCAAAATGTGAAACAGATTATCTAGGGTTGCTACACAAAGCAAAAAGTGAAATGAAAGGTTTTACAATGTTCAGCGTGAGCTCGTTATGATACGGGGAATTGTCTTGTTGTGAGATTTCTCAATAGCCAGTCGACTACGGTTCAAAGCGCATGCTTCTTGGCAGGCAGCAAAACTGTATGCGCATCTTTCACGGGCACCAGCGGGCTTCCCACCACCGAAACTATTGCCACGAGCGTCCTTCTCACCACCTCCAGCAGCGCCACTAACGGCACCAGCGCTTCCTTCGCTTGCCACGTGGCGTCATCGTACGATGTCCATTCCTTCGTCACATTCACCAGCAATAACAGCATCCCATATCGCGGATTCGCACGGTCTCACTGCCTCGTTATCTGTCCCCGCGTCACCGCCAGTCACCGACTCCCAGTGTTGCGCATTTCATGGGACGTTTTCCGCCGCCGCTCGTTCTCAGCGAAACGAAAACCGTTTTGCAAACGCACACAGCCTTTCGTCTGGCCGCTCACGACCGTTCGATTCGGGGACGCCACGCTGGAGAGTGCGATTGACCGTCCGATGCGGGGCGGCTGGAAATGCAGGCCGTCACGCTGCCCCGTGTTCCGCCAGAGTTGCGGCGGAGGCCGCAAGCGCGCGGAGATGGGGGATATGCGGAGGTGAAGGGGGAAGCAGAGGAGGAGGCGGAAGAGGCGGGGCAGGCGGGATGCAGGCGCGGGCGGTGAGGTGCGCAGCGGTGGGGGGCGCAGTGGCGGAGGGCGCAGCGGCGGGGAGGGTGGCGGAGGAGACGGTGCTGGAGGTGCGGCGAGTGAGCTTCCAGCCACACGGGTCCGACAGCTGGCTGCTCACTGACGTGTCGCTCTCCCTTCCTAAGAACAGGTGCGCTCCCTCCCTGCGCCCTCCCTCCACCCTCCCCGCTCTTCCGCCCTTTGAGACCTCTCAAAAGACAGCTGGCTGCTCACTGACGTGTCACTCTCCCTGCCCAAAAACAGGTGCATTCCCTCCCTCCGCATCTCCGCCCCTGCCTCATCCCCGCCCCTGCCTCATCTCCGTCCCTGTCTCATCCCCACCCCTGCCACCCGCCTGTGTGCGACAGCTTGGGACTGATTTTCGGGCGAAGTGGAGGCGGCAAGACCACTCTCCTGCAGGTACGCCTGCTGCTGTGCTGCCACCATGTCTCCTTCCTTTTAACCTACACCCCATCTCCTCAATCCTAAACCCCAAACCTGCACCTGAAGCAGCCTGGAAAATGCAAGTCAGCTCGATATTGATCTGGGAAGCATGGCACTACTAGTACCCTTGATTCCACTGTCGCCTTCCTCGCATGTCAACCCACACCACACCACACCACTGCATTTGGCGGTTTTCTGGTGCTGTCCATCCTAATCCTTGTCCATCCTAATCCTTGTCCATCCTAATCCTTGTCCATCCTAATCCTTGTCCATCCGCTCAATTTTTCCATGCACGCCTTCGCTCTAGTCCTCCCTATCAGCTCTTCTCAGGTCTCACCACTGCCACCCACCCACCCACGGCACCATAGCCATGCTAGTTTTGGAGAGTGTCAAAGGTTGTCCTCTTTCTCTTCCCCTCCCGCCACCTTTCCCTCCCCCCCACCCCATCAGCTCCTCTCAGGTCTCACCACTGCCACCCACCCACCCATGGCACCATTGCCATGCCGGCACCATCCCCTCCCTCCCTCTCACCCCCTTTCTGCCGCCTTCTTTTTCCCTTCCGTCCCATGCCTTCCCCCCTCCCCGTCAGCTGCTCTCAGGTCTCACCACTGCCACTCACGGCACCATAGCCATGCCGACAACTTCCCCTCCCTCCCTCTCTGCCTCCTCGCCCGCCTCCCTCTCACCCAATCCGCCCGCCCTCACGCCTCTCTCCCGCGCTGAGCTCTCTGAGAGAGTCGGCATTGTCTTTCAATTCCCGGAACGGTGAGCCCCCTCGTTCGCCACCTTGTGTCCTACTGGCACGGCGCCTCCTCCCCTCTCTCCCTCTCACTCTCTTCGCCCGTCCTCTCCCCTCTCTCCTTCCCCCTCCTTCTCCCTCTCACCCAATCTTCCGGCCCTCATCCTCCCTCAATCAGTCCTTTGCATTAGATCCCTCTCCCCAGCAGCTTTCCAAGAGTTTTGGCATTGTCTTTCAATTCCCTGAACAGTGAGTCGTCCCCTTTAGCCTTTCGCCCCCTAGGTGCTGCATTTTCCCCTTGTCATGCTTCTGCTGCTGCCCCCTTCTGTTGCCCCGCCCTCTCTGTTCTTTCTCCCTCACTACCCTTCCTCTCTTCCTCCACCCCACTTTTTCCACTCTATCTGTCTCCTTCCTTCATTACACTTGACCTCTCTCCCCCTTTCTCCCCAACTTCTTCCCCCTCTCGTTACCCCGGAAACTGCCCCCCTTTCCCTGCACTCCCCGCCCTTTCCCGCGCCCCCCCACTCCCCACCCATTCTCCGCCTTTCCCCCTTCCCCATATCACCACATCCTTCCCTCCCCCACCTCCCCAGCTACTTCCCGATGGACAGTGTGTTGGCAGAGCTCACCTTCGGCTGGCCCTCGCGAGTGGAGGATATACCTCTCCGACAGGCTCAGGGTGGAACCCAGTACTCGTCCTCCCTCCCTGTGCCCCCACCCCTATTATCCCTCTCCCCCTCGTGCCCCCCTACCCTCCCGGTTTCAGCTACTTTCTGACGGACAGTGTGTTGGCAGAGCTCACCTTCGGCTGGCCCTCACGAGTGGAGGACATTCCTCTCAGGCAGGCGCTGGCTGCGCGCGTGCAGGCAGCGCTCATAGCGGTGAGGAGTGGTGCGGTGGAGTGGAGTGGTGAAGGGGGGAGTGGGGTGGGGTGTGGTGGGGTGCGGTGGGGTGGGGTGGGGTGGGGTGGGGTGGGGTGGGGTGGGGTGGAGTGGGGTCTATAAGTTGGTAGTGCACTGCACTGTCACAAAGGAATTTGCTCTAGACATTATCCCGCGTGTTCACATCTCAATGTCCCCTGAACCCCAGCTCCATTCTACCCCCTCCCTTCCCCACCCTCTCCCCACACACAGGTGGGCCTAATAGTAGTGGCACTCGATACCATCCCGCGTGCTCTGCTCTCAGCGGGGCCAACCAGCCCCACCTCGGCCTCGCCTCGAAACCTCTCTTGGTGCAACTATTGAGAATTCTCAAAAGTCGCACCAACCAGCCCCGCCTCAGCCTCGCCTCGAAACCCCTCTTTAAACCTGCAGCTCCATCCCCACCTCTCGTCTTCTCCCGATGCCAACCCACGTGCTCTCACCTCGTCCCACCATCTGTCTCCTCCCCCACTCCCACTCCACTCCCACCCACATCAATGCAGGTGGGGCTAATGGGAGTGGCCCTGGACACCAATCCGCGTGCTCTCAGCGGGGGCAACCAGCGCCGCCTTGCCCTCGCTATCCAACTCGTCAGTACTCCCTCCTCTCCTCTCCGTTTTTCCCCACACCTGAGTAATTAATGGTGAAGGCAGGCGCCTCGTGCTGCCCTCGTGCTAGCCAGTCTCACCATCCTGCTCGTCACTGCTCTCCACGCCTTTGTGCTCCTGAGTGACGACCGGGCAACACAAATGCCTTGTTCGAGTCTTCTCAAAGACACGGAACCAGCACAGCAGCAGCACGAGCTCAGTCCACAATGCCATGCTTCACTCACCCACTGCTTCCTTCATCCCTCCCCTTGCCGCACCACATTCCAAAATAACTGCTCGCACCGTTTCTCAGGTTCGGATGCCGGAGCTGCTGCTGCTGGACGAACCTCTTGCGGGGCTCGGTACGTGTGATGATTGATAATTGATGATTGATAATTGATGATTGATAATTGATGATTGATAATTGATGATTGATGATTGATAATTGATGATTGATAATTGATGATTGATAATTGATGATTGATAATTGATGATTGATAATTGATGATTGATAATTGATGATTGATGATTGATGATTGATAATTGATGATTGATAATTGATGATTGATGATAAATGGCCCTCAAGTGCCCGCCTGACTGCTTTAAAACCATGAAATGCCTCAATAATGCGCTAGCTGCTATGAGCTACGGGCTTGCCTCATCGATTGAAATGAAATGGTGGATCGAAACAGCTGAAGGATCTGCATACAGGTCATTCGGTGCCATTGTTTGTTATTCTTCTTCTTCCTCCCTCTCTCTTTTGTCTTGCCTTTTTATTTTCCTGCCTCCATTGTGCCCTTTGATCCCCTCTCTCTCCCCCCCAGACTGGAGGGCGAGGGCGGACGTGGTGAGGCTGCTGGCGGCACTTAAGAGGGAACGCTCCATCCTTGTTGTCAGCCACGACCTCAGGTGAATCCTTAGGGTCTTCATGAATTGAGTGGGTATTTCAGGTGATGCTTCAGGGTTTCATGTGCTTTTTATGAACGAAGATATTCCCATTCCCCAGATTCACCATCTCCCTCATGTGATTCCTTGCGTAGGAACTCACGCCCTCCCTGTTGTCGTCTCCTGTTTCTGACTCATTATTGTCACATTTGCTCTCCGTCTCTCTGCAGGGAGCTGGCCCCCTTAGTGGATCGGTCGTGGCGAATGCAAATGGGGGGAAGGCTGAGGGAGGAGTCGCTACCAGCAGCCGTGTCAGATGATGAAGGAGACTTGAATTTCCCCTGGCGAGCGTGATGCTATATGAACGTGATGTGAACGGTCGCAGTGCAATGTGCATCCTCAATGGGAAGAACCACTACTACCAGCAGCTGTGTCGAATGATGACGGCGGCGTGAATCTTCCCTGGCGAGCGTGAACGCAGGATCAAGGAGTGGTGGGGACAAGGGCGCGGTGTGTCTGTCTGGTTCAACCAGTGGCCTTCATCCATTTCGTGCCGCAGGATCAAACAATCAGTGACGAATCAACCTTCTTTACCTGGTTTGGATGACAAAATGGATGTGAGCGTTCAAGTTTTTTGACAGATTGCATTCAAGTCTTACGGTAGTAAGGGGTGAATGTCTCTTGTTATAGAACAGTGAGACATTAATTTGGACGAAGGGCTTGATACGGTGTCTGAAATAAATTCGTATGCATATATATTTTCTACGTTAGCTTGAACAGTTTAGGGGTAGCAATTTTGGCCAGGGTGGATGATATTGTGTGACACCAATTCAGTTGATTCGGAAACCTTTTTTTTCAGTAACGCGTATGCGCACATACTTCCTCCGTGAAGAGAATCTGTGGCAGTCAGTCCACGAGAAGTTATGCAGGGAAAGTTGTAAGCACCACCAAATCCCCGACGCGTCTCGCGTCTCCGCGTCTCGCGTCTCGCGTTACGTCTCCCGCCATCGTGCGTACCGTACCTCCAGTCAACGACACCACCACGAGTGGTGTTCGTTTTCACTTTGCGTTCATCTTGAGACTAATAGAGCACGCTACCCAATTTGAACGTAATTAAGCAACGTGCTAATAGAATCCCACCATGGACCAGTCGAAGCGCGGTCCAAGGGCGGGCGACGCGGAGGTCGTGGATATGGCGAGCATTCCGGCGGGCATTGCCTCGGGTGCCGCGGAAAGAAACTCAGAGGGGGGCGAGATGGCGGAGAGGGATGCGGAGGGTGGCGAGCGGGCGGAGAAGGCGGAGAGGGCCGCGGAGAAGGGGGCGGAGGCGGCGGGAGGGGAGAGCGGCGCAGCGGACGAGCTGAGGGCGCGCGTGGGCCGTCGGATGGCGAAGATCAAGAAGGTGGTGGCGGCGGGGAAAGGCGACGCGAAGCACTACTACGACGTGTACGGCGCGCAGGTAGGCGCGCGGAGGGTGGGAAAAGGGGGGGAGGGGGGTGGGGGGGGGAAGAGAGAGCAGGGGGAGGGACAGGGGGTGTGGGGGAGGAGGTGTTGAGGCCCGCAGAGCGGACAGACGTGGGGGGGAATATTTGGGGGCCGCAGGTGTATGGGCGGGGCCGCGGGGCGAGGGGGATACTCTCCAACAAGGGCGGCAGCCAAGCGCTAATACGATGATGTGTATGACCCATGCGCAGTCAGGTGAGGGAGGGGGGAGGGGTTGGATTAGCAGATGCCCGCATGTATGGGTGCAGTCAGGCATGTTCCTCAAACTCAAACCGACCCCTCCCGCCCCCTGAATCTCCCCCACCCACCAACCCCTCCCGCTGGGTTTCATTCCGTCTGCCAGAGCGCACGCCAACCGTCTCCCTTCTCTCGCCCGTTTCCCCCTTTCCTGTTCCCCCAATCACTCCCCGCCCCTTCTCCCCATTCCCCCCTTACTCCCCCCTCTTTCCTCTCCCACCCCCTCCTCCCCTTCCCCCTCAGGCGCGCGCAGAGCTGGAGCTGCGCCCGCCTATGGCCAAGGGCGCAGAGCAGCGCGCCAAGCCTCTCAGTTTCACTGTCAGTGCCTCTGGGGTTGAGGGGTTTCGGGGTGAGGGGTGAGGGATTGAGGATTTGGGGGTTAAGGGGTTTGGGGTCTGACGGGTTCGGGTTTCAAAGGCAAGGGATTCGGGGATGAGAGGATGTGAGAGGCACATTGCTCATGAGTGAGTGAGATGCCTTCAGCACGCTCACTTGCATGCTGTCCCCAGCCTGACTGCTTTCCAGGCGCCTCAAAAGTCGTGGATGAGAGAGATGAGAGGCGCATAGTTTTGTGAGCCGCCCTCAGCTCAGCACACTCACTTTGCATGCCGCCCCGTCTCCAGCCTGACTATGTCCATGCCACTCTGCCTCGCCTGGTTTGGCAGGATGTGCAGGATTTGATTCTCTGGGTGCTCACAGGGGAGGTCAACCCGCAGTGGGCATTTATCAAGGTGGGCAGCAGCATGTATATCTACAAGGTGGGCAGCAGCATGTATATCTACAAGGTGGGCAGCAGCATGTATATCTACAAGGTGGGCAGCAGCATGTATATGGCTGACATCTGGTCTGCTTGCACACACATGGCTGCTTGCACACACATGGCTGCTTGCACACACATGGCTGCTTGCACACACATGGCTGCTTGCACACACATGGCTGCTTGCACTCGCTGGCAGTTGCAGGGTACTACTACCTACCAAGCATACCAATTTTGAGTCCTCACATTGAAATACGAATCTCGGGCTTCTACTGGAGTGTTTTTAAGGCCAAAGCAACTTCCATCATGTTTCGAGTGTTAGTAACATCATCACTCCCCTTCATCATCTCTTCTCTTCTCCCCCCCCATTCCCCCCTCCCTCCTCTCCTCACCAACTCTGATACAAGCCGCTGGTATCAAGGGTGGTGCTGCTGGTGCAGCAAATAATTGATTCTTCCCCCTTTCCCTCATTTCCCCCCTCTCCTTTCCCCCCTTTCCCCGCTTTCCCCGCTCTCCCCCAATTTCCCCTTTTCTCCCCTCCCTCCTCACCCGCCCTGGCAGAACAAGCCGCTGGTATCAAGGGTGGTGGTGCTGCTGACGCTTCTGGTGCCAGGAATAATTTCTTTTCCCCATTTTCCCCCGTCTCCCCCTCTGCCTCTCTCCCCCTCTCCCCCTCTGCCTCTCTCCCCCTCTCCCCCTCTGCCTCTCTTCCCCTCTCCCCCTCTCCCCCTGAAACGTTCTGCAGAACAAGCCGCTGGTATCAAGGGTGGTGGTGCTGCTGGTGCCGGGAATTGACGCCCATACGTTCCACTCCCGCCCGGACCTCTTCCCGAACCTGCACCGCTGCTTCGGCAGCAAATCTCTGCCGTTGAAGGCTGTGAGGTAAGGAAGCGTGTCCTCATTCTCATCTCCCTTTTCCTCCCCTCAAGCCCTTCCCTATTTTCCTTCCCTCCGTTTCACTCTTCCCCTCACTCGTGTTACTTGATCCTTATCTCGTGCTCTTTCTGCCTCTCTCTTCCTCCCCCATCCCCACATTCCGTCCCACATCCTTATCTCGTGCTCTAATTGCTCCCCTAACAGCCCGTCAGCCCATTCCCCCATCCCCCCATCCCTTCATCCCCCCATCCCACTAGTTAGTATAAGGTTGTTTCGTGAAACACTAGTAGGGCCTTCCCTTTGCATGTTACAACCAGTTTTCCAAGCAACACTAGCACTGCCTTCCCATCACTCTTCCCTCCCCCACGCATCCCCCCATTCCGCACAATGTCCAATACAACAAGTGCCCTGCTCTCACCACCCGTTGTTTGTTTCTTGAAACGCCACTAGCTGTGCCTTCCCACTGTCTTCCCCTCCCCCTCCCACCATCCCACCACCACCCCCCCATCAGCCCAGCAGCAACGGTGTGAGACACAAAGAAGGCCATGTTTGCCATGTTTGCCCGACCCGTTGCCATGTTTGCCCGACCCGTTGCCATGTTTGCCCGACCCGTTGCCATGTTTGCCCGACCCGTTGCCATGTTTGCCCGACCCGTTGCCATGTTTGCCCGACCCGTTGCCATGTTTGCCCAACCAGTTGCCATGTTTGCCCGACCCGTTGCCATGTTTGCCCGACCCGTTGCCATGTTTGCCCGACCCGTTGCCATGTTTGCACGACCCGTTGCTTGCTTCTTGAAGCGTCATTAGCACTGCCTTGCCTTCCCATCTGCCTTACTCTCCGCTCACCACCCCCTCACCAACCCCCCACCAGCCCAGCAGCAACGGTATCCGACACAATGAAGGCAGTGTTTTCACGACCCGTTGCTTGTTAAAACGCCACTTGCAGTGTTATGCCATCCACTCACCTCTCACCATCCCCCCAACCCACCGCTTCCCACCATCCCACCAACCCCCACTCCCATCAGCCCATCAGCAACGGTGGCAGACACAATGAAGGCCATGTTTGCCATGTTTGCCCGACCCGTTGCTCTCAAGGTACCCTTTCACCCACAGGGGGTGTGGCGTGATTCGGGTGCTTCGGGTGATTGGGGTGAGTGGGGTGATTCGGGTGATTCGGGTGATTGGGGTGATTGGGGTGAGTGGGGTGATTCGGGTGATTGGTCATGGCAAGGGGAGTGGTCATGGCAAGGGGAGTGGTCATGGCAAGGGGAGTGGTCATGGCACGGGGAGTGGTCATGGCAAGGGGAGTGGTCATGGCAAGGGGAGTGGTCATGGCACGGGGAGTGGTCATGGCAAGGGGAGTGGTCATGGCAAGGGGAGTGGTCATGGCACGGGGAGTGGTCATGGCAAGGGGAGTGGTCATGGCAAGGGGAGTGGTCATGGCACGGGGAGTGGTCATGGCAAGGGGAGTGGTCATGGCAAGGGGAGTGGTCATGGCACGGGGAGTGGTCATGGCAAGGGGAGTGGTCATGGCAAGGGGAGTGGTCATGGCAAGGGGAGTGGTCATGGCAAGGGGAGTGGTCATGGCACGGGGAGTGGTCATGGCAAGGGGAGTGGTCATGGCAAGGGGAGTGGTCATGGCACGGGGAGTGGTCATGGCACGGGGAGTGGTCATGGCAAGGGGAGTGGTCATGGCAAGGGGAGTGGTCATGGCAAGGGGAGTGGTCATGGCAAGGGGAGTGGTCATGGCACGGGGAGTGGTCATGGCAAGGGGAGTGGTCATGGCAAGGGGAGTGGTCATGGCAAGGGGAGTGGTCATGGCAAGGGGAGTGGTCATGGCACGGGGAGTGGTCATGGCACGGGGAGTGGTCATGGCAAGGGGAGTGGTCATGGCAAGGGGAGTGGTCATGGCAAGGGGAGTGGTCATGGCAAGGGGAGTGGTCATGGCACGGGGAGTGGTCATGGCAAGGGGAGTGGTCATGGCAAGGGGAGTGGTCATGGCACGGGGAGTGGTCATGGCACGGGGAGTGGTCATGGCAAGGGGAGTGGTCATGGCAAGGGGAGTGGTCATGGCAAGGGGAGTGGTCATGGCAAGGGGAGTGGTCATGGCACGGGGAGTGGTCATGGCACGGGGAGTGGTCATGGCAAGGGGAGTGGTCATGGCAAGGGGAGTGGTCATGGCAAGGGGAGTGGTCATGGTAAGGGGAGTGGTCATGGCACGGGGAGTGGTCATGGCACGGGGAGTGGTCATGGCAAGGGGAGTGGTCATGGCACGGGGAGTGGTCATGGCAAGGGGAGTGGTCATGGCAAGGGGAGTGGTCATGGCAAGGGGAGTGGTCATGGCAAGGGGAGTGGTCATGGCAAGGGGAGTGGTCATGGCACGGGGAGTGGTCATGGCACGGGGAGTGGTCATGGCAAGGGGAGTGGTCATGGCACGGGGAGTGGTCATGGCACGGGGAGTGGTCATGGCACGGGGAGTGGTCATGGCAAGGGGAGTGGTCATGGCAAGGGGAGTGGTCATGGCAAGGGGAGTGGTCATGGCAAGGGGAGTGGTCATGGCAAGGGGAGTGGTCATGGCAAGGGGAGTGGTCATGGCACGGGGAGTGGTCATGGCAAGGGGAGTGGTCATGGCAAGGGGAGTGGTCATGGCACGGGGAGTGGTCATGGCACGGGGAGTGGTCATGGCACGGGGAGTGGTCATGGCAAGGGGAGTGGCTCATGGCACGGGGAGTGGTCATGGCACGGGGAGTGGTCATGGCACGGGGAGTGGTCATGGCAAGGGGAGTGGTCATGGCAAGGGGAGTGGTCATGGCAAGGGGAGTGGTCATGGCAAGGGGAGTGGTCATGGCACGGGGAGTGGTCATGGCAAGGGGAGTGGTCATGGCAAGGGGAGTGGTCATGGCACGGGGAGTGGTCATGGCACGGGGAGTGGTCATGGCAAGGGGAGTGGTCATGGCACGGGGAGTGGTCATGGCAAGGGGAGTGGTCATGGCACGGGGAGTGGTCATGGCACGGGGAGTGGTCATGGCAAGGGGAGTGGTCATGGCACGGGGAGTGGTCATGGCACGGGGAGTGGTCATGGCACGGGGAGTGGTCATGGCAAGGGGAGTGGTCATGGCAAGGGGAGTGGTCATGGCAAGGGGAGTGGTCATGGCACGGGGAGTGGTCATGGCAAGGGGAGTGGTCATGGCAAGGGGAGTGGTCATGGCACGGGGAGTGGTCATGGCAAGGGGAGTGGTCATGGCACGGGGAGTGGTCATGGCACGGGGAGTGGTCATGGCAAGGGGAGTGGTCATGGCACGGGGAGTGGTCATGGCACGGGGAGTGGTCATGGCACGGGGAGTGGTCATGGCAAGGGGAGTGGTCATGGCAAGGGGAGTGGTCATGGCACGGGGAGTGGTCATGGCAAGGGGAGTGGTCATGGCAAGGGGAGTGGTCATGGCAAGGGGAGTGGTCATGGCAAGGGGAGTGGTCATGGCAAGGGGAGTGGTCATGGCACGGGGAGTGGTCATGGCAAGGGGAGTGGTCATGGCAAGGGGAGTGGTCATGGCACGGGGAGTGGTCATGGCACGGGGAGTGGTCATGGCAAGGGGAGTGGTCATGGCACGGGGAGTGGTCATGGCACGGGGAGTGGTCATGGCAAGGGGAGTGGTCATGGCAAGGGGAGTGGTCATGGCAAGGGGAGTGGTCATGGCAAGGGGAGTGGTCATGGCAAGGGGAGTGGTCATGGCAAGGGGAGTGGTCATGGCACGGGGAGTGGTCATGGCAAGGGGAGTGGTCATGGCAAGGGGAGTGGTCATGGCACGGGGAGTGGTCATGGCACGGGGAGTGGTCATGGCACGGGGAGTGGTCATGGCAAGGGGAGTGCTCATGGCACGGGGAGTGGTCATGGCACGGGGAGTGGTCATGGCACGGGGAGTGGTCATGGCAAGGGGAGTGGTCATGGCAAGGGGAGTGGTCATGGCAAGGGGAGTGGTCATGGCAAGGGGAGTGGTCATGGCAAGGGGAGTGGTCATGGCAAGGGGAGTGGTCATGGCACGGGGAGTGGTCATGGCAAGGGGAGTGGTCATGGCAAGGGGAGTGGTCATGGCACGGGGAGTGGTCATGGCACGGGGAGTGGTCATGGCAAGGGGAGTGGTCATGGCACGGGGAGTGGTCATGGCAAGGGGAGTGGTCATGGCACGGGGAGTGGTCATGGCACGGGGAGTGGTCATGGCAAGGGGAGTGGTCATGGCACGGGGAGTGGTCATGGCACGGGGAGTGGTCATGGCACGGGGAGTGGTCATGGCAAGGGGAGTGGTCATGGCAAGGGGAGTGGTCATGGCAAGGGGAGTGGTCATGGCACGGGGAGTGGTCATGGCAAGGGGAGTGGTCATGGCAAGGGGAGTGGTCATGGCACGGGGAGTGGTCATGGCAAGGGGAGTGGTCATGGCACGGGGAGTGGTCATGGCACGGGGAGTGGTCATGGCAAGGGGAGTGGTCATGGCACGGGGAGTGGTCATGGCACGGGGAGTGGTCATGGCACGGGGAGTGGTCATGGCAAGGGGAGTGGTCATGGCAAGGGGAGTGGTCATGGCAAGGGGAGTGGTCATGGCACGGGGAGTGGTCATGGCACGGGGAGTGGTCATGGCACGGGGAGTGGTCATGGCAAGGGGAGTGGTCATGGCACGGGGAGTGGTCATGGCACGGGGAGTGGTCATGGCAAGGGGAGTGGTCATGGCAAGGGGAGTGGTCATGGCACGGGGAGTGGTCATGGCACGGGGAGTGGTCATGGCACGGGGAGTGGTCATGGCACGGGGAGTGGTCATGGCAAGGGGAGTGGTCATGGCACGGGGAGTGGTCATGGCAAGGGGAGTGGTCATGGCAAGGGGAGTGGTCATGGCAAGGGGAGTGGTCATGGCAAGGGGAGTGGTCATGGCACGGGGAGTGGTCATGGCACGGGGAGTGGTCATGGCAAGGGGAGTGGTCATGGCACGGGGAGTGGTCATGGCAAGGGGAGTGGTCATGGCACGGGGAGTGGTCATGGCACGGGGAGTGGTCATGGCAAGGGGAGTGGTCATGGCACGGGGAGTGGTCATGGCACGGGGAGTGGTCATGGCACGGGGAGTGGTCATGGCAAGGGGAGTGGTCATGGCAAGGGGAGTGGTCATGGCAAGGGGAGTGGTCATGGCACGGGGAGTGGTCATGGCACGGGGAGTGGTCATGGCACGGGGAGTGGTCATGGCAAGGGGAGTGGTCATGGCACGGGGAGTGGTCATGGCACGGGGAGTGGTCATGGCAAGGGGAGTGGTCATGGCAAGGGGAGTGGTCATGGCACGGGGAGTGGTCATGGCACGGGGAGTGGTCATGGCACGGGGAGTGGTCATGGCACGGGGAGTGGTCATGGCAAGGGGAGTGGTCATGGCACGGGGAGTGGTCATGGCAAGGGGAGTGGTCATGGCAAGGGGAGTGGTCATGGCATGGGGAGTGGTCATGGCAAGGGGAGTGGTCATGGCAAGGGGAGTGGTCATGGCACGGGGAGTGGTCATGGCAAGGGGAGTGGTCATGGCAAGGGGAGTGGTCATGGCACGGGGAGTGGTCATGGCAAGGGGAGTGGTCATGGCAAGGGGAGTGGTCATGGCACGGGGAGTGGTCATGGCACGGGGAGTGGTCATGGCAAGGGGAGTGGTCATGGCACGGGGAGTGGTCATGGCAAGGGGAGTGGTCATGGCACGGGGAGTGGTCATGGCACGGGGAGTGGTCATGGCAAGGGGAGTGGTCATGGCACGGGGAGTGGTCATGGCACGGGGAGTGGTCATGGCACGGGGAGTGGTCATGGCAAGGGGAGTGGTCATGGCAAGGGGAGTGGTCATGGCAAGGGGAGTGGTCATGGCACGGGGAGTGGTCATGGCACGGGGAGTGGTCATGGCACGGGGAGTGGTCATGGCAAGGGGAGTGGTCATGGCACGGGGAGTGGTCATGGCACGGGGAGTGGTCATGGCACGGGGAGTGGTCATGGCAAGGGGAGTGGTCATGGCACGGGGAGTGGTCATGGCACGGGGAGTGGTCATGGCAAGGGGAGTGGTCATGGCACGGGGAGTGGTCATGGCAAGGGGAGTGGTCATGGCAAGGGGAGTGGTCATGGCACGGGGAGTGGTCATGGCAAGGGGGACTGGGCATGCCCCACGAACATCAGAAGCATGTTTCGGCGTTTTTTCGTTCTGCTGTGTACGAAATCTGACGTGAATTGGTCACACCACATTTTGCCCTCAACCTATGTTCTTGCCATCTGCTGCCCATTTTTCAACTCTTTGCCACCCGTTTGTCAAATTCTTGACCACTTGACCGACCATTATTGTTTGCCGGCCAATACTCGCTTCCGTTTCTGGCCATTATTTGCCTCTCTGCCGCCCGCCTTTCAACTCTTGCCGCCCCCAGAAAAGCACCAGCTCGTCGTCTGCCAAATCAGCTGCTGCCACGTCAGCACATGCGGACAGCAAGGCAGGAGGAGGTGTGACAAACGGTGTGGGTTGTGAAAGCAAGGAGGGGACGAGTAGCGGTTTGCAGGGAGGTGAGGAGAAGCAGACGAGTGAGAAAGATAAGGGGGATGAGCATGAGGATGAGGAGGAAAAGGAGGAAGGGGAGGAGGAAGAAGAGGAGGGAGAGGTATTTGATTCTGAAAGTGAGGGGGAAGGAGAGGAAGGAAGGGGAGAAGGGGAGGTGGGGAGGGATGAGGGCGAAGAGGGGAGAGACAAAGGAGAGGGTGGTAGAAAGAGGAAGGCAGAGGTACTGGGCGATGGGGGAGGGGAAGGAGAAGAAGAAGAAGGGGAAGGAAGACACAGCAAGACAATGAAGACAAGCAGCGAGGGAGAGAGGGTGGTGTTTGCTGTTGAAGGGCCCAGCACACACACACCAGCTCCACCACTTCCCTCCTCCCCATTGCTACCCTCCTCTCCCTCCTCCCCAACCTCCTCACTCCCATTCAAGTCGAAACCTCCTCTCCCTCTCGAGCACTACCTGCTGACGTGGCGCCAGCTGAAAGAAAACAATTTTCCACTGCCCGTGGTGGCGGGCAACAAGGGGCGAGACGGGCAGGATGGGAAAGAGGCTGCCCGGAAAGCAGGCGGCGGCATCTCACTTGCTGATGGCTCGGCTCTTCCTCCTCCAGGTCAGATTGCAACCTTTCCAGGTCACGTCTCAGGTCAGGTCAGATTGTCAGGTGCCAGTAAATCCATGTCAGATTCTAATGATTCCACGTCACATTCCATGCTTTCCAGGTCAGATTTCAAGCACTCAAGGTCAGGTTCCGTTGATTCCAAGTCAGATTCTATTGATTCCCGGTCACATTTCACAGATGCCAGGGCAGATTGTCTAACTTCGAGTCAGCCTCATGTGTTTTTTGAGCTGCCTCGAAACGTCTCCTTTCGACACGTCCACACATGAGCTGGCTGCAGAGGCCTTGAGGAGGTCACTTGGCACACTTGTTGTGCCGCGGTCATGCCCCCTGGGATAAATGAGTGCTCTTGAGGCATCTCAAAAGCACTCATTTATCAGAGGCCTTGATAAGGCCTTGATAAGGTGTGGTGTTGCAAATGTGTTGCAAATGTATTACATATGCCTCACCCCTTCTTCCACATATGCAGACGGGGTTGGGTACATTCTATGTTTTCACCCTTCCCGATCTGCTCTTTTATTTCTTCACTCCCCCCATCTGTTTTCATCCTTCCGCATTTTTTTTTTCTCACCATTCCCCATTTTCGTTTTTTTTTTTTTCTTCACCCTCCCCATGTGCTCTTTGTTTTTTCAACCTTCCTCTCTGCCCTCCCCCTTTGTTCGGTCCCCACCAGTGCAACACCCACAGGGGGCTGGAGCTCACTCGCCTCACTCTGCTGGATGCTCACGGCAAGGTACGATCAGGTAAGGATAGGTTTCACCAGGTGAGGGCAGGTTTGTTCAGGTAAGGGCAAGAGTGCATTCATGAGGGCTTCTCAAATCTCTGCCTCACTCGGCTGGATGCTCATGACGAGGTACGATCAGGTGAGGATAGGTTTGACCAGGTGAGGGCAGGTTTGCTGAGGTGAGGGCAGGTTTGCTGAGGTGAGGGCAGGTTTGCTGAGGTGAGGGCAGGTTTGCTGAGGTGAGGGCAGGCTGGAACAGGTGAGGGCAGGTATGGCCCACAAACCAACCTGCATTGCTTCGCATGGCCCACCACAAGTCATCCTGACTTTCCACTTGCCCTCCCCTTGTCCCGTGCCCTCCCTGCGTATACCTTGATCTGCTGCATACACCAAATGTTGTTAGACGAGCTGGTGAAGCCTTTTGAGACGTCTCAAAATTCCCCTTGTCCCGTGCCCTCCCTGCGTATACCTTCATCGGCTGCATACACCAGGTGTTGTTAGACGAGCTGGTGAAGCCTGAGAGCCCCATGGCTAACCTCTTGACTCTCATCATCCACAGACCATCCTGCCTCTCTGTGTGCCCTCCTCTCATCCCATGCCCTGCATGTACCAGGTGCTGTTAGACGAGTTGGTGAAGCCTGAGAGTCCAATCACCAACTACAACACACAGTGAGTCACCAGCAAGCAGCCCCAGCAGCCTACCAACCAATGCCGCTCTCCCACCAACCAATGCCGCCCTCCCACCAACCAATGCCGGCTCCCCTCTCCCCATCAATGCTGCACCAAGCATTTCATTGTAGGACCCACTCCACGCCGCGCCACAGTGCATCAATCGATCGTTGTTAGTCGTTTCATGAAAGCCAGTGTGCCAGTTGCTTCTTTCGCCCTTGCCCCACCCACACCCCCCTTCCTTCCACCCCCACCCACCCCTCCCACCCCACCCTCTTGCCCCCTGTTGATGCATTGACAAATATGTCTTTTCTCCTTTTCTTTGTTTCATGATTTCTGTTTTGGTGTGTCACTCCTTTGAGCCCTATACAATGTTTCTTGGCAGCCTTCTTTCCTGAACCATTGTTTCTTGGTGAACCATACAAACCTGAACGCACTCCTCCCACCCCTCCCTCCCTCCCTCCCTCCCTCCCTCCCTCCCTCCCTCCCTCCCTCCCTCCCTCCCTCCCTCCCTCCCTCCCTCCCTCGCTCCCTCGCTCTCTCCCTCCTTGCCATGGATCAGGTTCTCGGGCATAACGCCTCAGATGCTGGCCGGGGTGACAACCACACTGCAGCAGGCACAGGTGAGATGGTTGAGTGAGAAGGGGGGGGTGAGAGGGGAAGGTGAGAGCGGGGAGTGAGAGGGGGGGGGGGGTGAAGGGGGCGAGCGAGAGGGGCAGTCCACCCTTGTACATCAACTCTCTTTCCGAGCCTTCATTTCCGCTTCCTCTCTACCCTGTCCTCACCTCCGGCTCACTGCTCGCTGTTCCACGTGATAAAAGTAGAGTTTTGAGACGTCTCACCTCTGGCTCACTGCTCGCTGTTCTACGTGATAAAAGTGGAGTTTGGAGACGTCTCACCTCCGGCTCACTGCTCGCTGTTCTACGTGATAAAAGTGGAGTTTTGAGACGTCTCACCTCCGGCTCACTGCTCGCTGTTCTACGTGATAAAAGTGGAGTTTTGAGACGTCTCACCTCCGGCTCACTGCTCGCTGTTCTACGTGATAAAAGTGGAGTTTTGAGACGTCTCACCTCCGGCTCACTGCTCGCTGTTCTACGTGATAAAAGTGGAGTTTTGAGACGTCTCACCTCCGGCTCACTGCTCCCTGTTCTACGTGATAAAAGTGGAGTTTTGAGACGTCACACCTCCGGCTTACTGCTCGCTGTTCTACGTGATAAAAGTGAAGTTTTGAGACGTCTCACCTCCGGCTCACTGCTCACTGTTCTACGTGATAAAAGTGGAGTTTTGAGACGTCTCACCTCCGGCTCACTGCTCGCTGTTCTACGCGATAAAAGTGGAGTTTTGAGACGTCTCACCTCCGGCTCACTGCTCGCTGTTCTACGTGATAAAAGTGGAGTTCTGAGACGTCTCACCTCCGGCTCACTGCTCGCTGTTCTACGTGATAAAAGTGGAGTTCTGAGACGTCTCAAAGCTCTACTTTTATCACGTACCTTCCTCTCTACCCTTTCCTCACCTCCGGCGAGTGGGGTGGGCGAGAGGGAGTGTCCTCACCTCCGGCTCACTGCTCACTGTTCCTCCTCTTTTCCCCTCATCCACCCCCTTCTGGTCTCCCCCTTACCACTCCCCCCTCGCCACTTCCCCCTCTCCCCACTCCCCCCTTTCCCGTTTCCCCCTCCCCACTCCCCCTTCCCCACTCTCCTTCCCTCTCCCCACTCCCCAACAGGAGCATTTTCTCGACATAGTCAGCGCAGAGACCATCCTGGTCGGCCATTCCACAGAGAGCGATCTGCACGCGATCCGGGCCGTTCATCTGCGCGTGATCGACACGTCGCTGCTCTTCCCCCACCCCCGTGGCCCGCCCTTCAAGTGCGCTCTGCGCTTCCTGGCAGCGGATTACCTTGGGCGGACCATTCAGGCTGGCTGGTGGGCAGGGAAGGGCGGGGTGGAGGGGCGAGGAGGGAGGGGACGGAGAGGGGGGATGAGAGGGGGATGGTCGTTTCACAGGGGGAGGGGTGGTGCTGGTAGTGGTGGTGCAGATGGTGCCGCTTCTGCTGCTCCTGCTGTGGCGGCGGCAGCGGTGGCGGCAGCGACGGCGGCAGCAGCGGCGGCAGCGACGGCGGCAGCAGCGGCGGCAGCGACGGCGGCAGCGGCAGCGGGCGCTGGTGCTGGTGCTGCTGGTGCTGTGGGTGGTTACCGCAGGAGTAACACCTGGTGCCGTAACGCTGGTGGCTCGCTGAAGCCAGGAGCAGCAGCAGCACCAGCAACAGCAACAGCAGCAGGAGGAGTGGGGGCTGTGGGAATGCGACATGAGAACAAAGGAGGTGATGTGGCAGAAGAAGCAACAGCACCTGCAGGAGGAGGAGCAGCAGGATCAAGAGAAGGAGCAACAGAGGGAGCATCAGCAAGAGAGGGAGGAGCAGCAATGGAAAGAGGAATAGGGGCAGCAGAGGAGCAGCAGGGCACAGTGGCATCGGACAGTGTAGGCACTGCAGGGCATGACAGTGTGGAGGACGCACGGGCTGCTCTTGACCTCGCCCTACTCAAAATACAACATGGTAACATGGTGACACCATAACATTGCAGAGGTAATTCACCAACCTCTCTCTCTCACACCACCCTTAATGCCCATCCGCTCCCAGGTCCGCACTTCGGCCTGCCTAGAAGGGCATCTAGACTGCAGCACACAGAGAACATTGTCACACGCCTCTCCTCCTCCGGGAAGTGCTGCACCATCGTGCTGCACCTACTAGCTGTCCCTCATGCCCATCTCACTCCCCTCCCTCAGGTCCCCACTTTGGGCTGCCTCGGAGGGCCTTCAAGCTCCACCACACGGAGAAGATTCTCATGCGCCTCTCTGCCTCCACGCGCCACTGCACCCTCACGCCCCTTCCTTTTGCCTCCTTGCATCCCCTAGGTCCCCATTTCGGCCTGCCTCGGAGGGCCTCAAGGATGCACCACCTGGAGAACCTTCTCACGCGCCTCTCTGCCTCCGGGCGCCACTGCACCGTTGTGTTGCATGCGCAAGCTGCCAGGCCGGACCTCTTTCTGGGCGGCAACTCCAACTCCACGTCAGAGATTCTGTGCCTCAAGCACGGGGACCTGGGCAAGGTTGCGAGCAGAGAGGTACGGCATGGGAGGAGAGCAGCGAGGAATGCACTGACGCCTCGTTTAAAGTCAACCAAGAGTGTGATTGTGGCTTCGCTGCTCCTCCCTCCCTTCCAAAAAAGTCACAATCATCCCTCTCCTCCTCTCCTCCTCACCTCCTCTCCTCCTCACCTCCTCTCCTCCTCACCTCCTCTCCTCCTCTCCTCCTCTCCTCCTCACCTCCTCTCCTCCTCTCCTCCTCACCTCCTCTCCTCCTCCCTCCCTCCCTCTTGCTTCACTTCTCTTCCCCTCTCTCCCTTATTTTCTTCCTCAGTTCCGTCTCTTCCCATCTTCCCTCTCTCTCCCCTTCCCTCTCTCCCACCCGTGCACAGGCGTGCAAGCCATCTCTCAACCTCCTAGTCGCCACCTTCCCCTCCCTCATGGCCTCGCTCTCCGCCCGCTGCTCCTCCCTTGCCTCCATGCCTCAACTCGCCACTGCCCTTGCTTCCGAACCTGCCTCCGAACCTGCTTCCACACGGGCCACCAGCCCTGCGTCCAAACCCGCACCTGAGCTTGCTCCTAAACCTGCATCATCACCACCCGTTCTTGAGACCACAATGACACAGGCACAGGCACAGGCACAGGCACAGGCACAGGCACAGCAGCAGCAGCAGCAGCAGCAGCAGCAGCAGCAGCAGCAGGAGGTCTCTTCCCCACCTGCTCATCCTGCTGACTTTTCTGTTGAGGAATCTTCCAGGAAGGTGGACGCACAGGTGGGGCAGGCGCACGAGTCTCTGCCGCCAAACACATTGCTGCTCGTCGTGACGGGGTGCGGCGACACGCCAGCTGTCAGACGGTGAGTGGGTGGGCTGGTGGGAGACACTCCAGCTGTCATCAGCGATGCTTTTGATGCAACCCATCTGCCTGCGTTTGTTCCCTGGATCGATCATGTTGACGACTCCTGAACCGCATTGCACTGCTTCCTTCTCCTTTGATCTCCCTTCTCCTTTGATCTCCCTTCATTCGCGCGGCAGCATGATGGAGTGGCGGTGGAAGCGGCAGCAGTGGAGGAGCACGGGCATGGAGCCCTGGGACGGGAGCCTCGATGCCCTCTTGAACCGCATGCAAGAGAGAGCCTCTGCTGCCCTGTGCTTGGCGACTGTGAAGCAATGAGCCTGCCTTTGTAAATGGTGACTGTTGAGATGAGTGAACCTCCAAAGGAGCAGGGGCATGGGGCCGTGGGATGAGCGCCTTGCTGCTCTCGAGAACCGCATGCAGGATGAGCATGCGTCTGTGTTGTGCCTTGCCACTGTGAACAATGAGTCAGACTTGGTACAGGGTGACTGACTTCTGAGGACTCAAAAGGAGGATTCATAAAGTTTCGGGTTTATGTAGGGTTCGATGCGATTCCACTAGGCATGGTTTGTCACCTGCCGCCGCTGCAGTGGCACTCGCAGTTGCGACCGAGGGTCCACCTGATGGTCGGATATGCATTACATGTCAATGAGGTTCCACCCAACAACTTGGCAGGTGTTGTATGGGTGCAGCACGCTAAGTAGGACACATGATATCGTGAATGTAACGATAGAGGTCAATCATGCATTGGGTGCTGCTATTGGAGGTGCTACCATTGCAACAATCGGAATTTTAGAACCATATGCACGCCTTATAAACCATGGTGCACATTCACCTCACCTGCCAACAACTTGCAACTTAAGCAAGGTTAAACTTTGATGCACGCGTTACGGGGAGTGCTGTTAGCCTGGGAAGCCAGATTTTGCCCCTCCCCCCAATTTTTTTGGTATCCCATCCCCCACAATTTTTGAATGTGTACCCTGGTTTTAAGTTGCTCGTACGTGTTACAATCCCGAGATAGACTTAGTCAAAGATCACTCCTGGTTGGTCGCGAAGGTATTGCATCGGAAGTAGTGACCTTAGATCAGAGTGAATGCAAATGACTGAAGTGTATAGCAGATACCGGTACATACATTGGTTTATATAGAAATACAAAGGAATACGAAAAGTCCTAGCTAGCCATGTACTATACGGGGTATATTCCCTTATTGCAGCGAAACTCAACCGTGCAGCGCGGGAACCCGTTTCAAACCTGTTCCCGCCAATTCCTGTTCAAATGATTCTGCCCGCATCGGTTCTTCCCCGACAACTGTTTCCGCCGTTTCAGCTCGTCAGACTCCTCGCCTTCATACTCGGTAGTGACTGCTCCTGTTGCGTACAGTAATGCATTCTCATACGCCCCATATAGCAACACCCCCCTTCATTCGTGGACGTGGCAGGTTATGACTCACTTGATTACTCCGGTGAGGTTGGAGTAGTGTTGGTATTGCTGACGTGGCAATCGCTTGGTGAGGAAGTCGGCTGCCATCTCAGTGGTGGGGTAATATGTCAGGTCAACCTTTCCTTGGTCAATTTCGTCCTTGACGGAGAAAGATCGTGGCTCGATGTGTCTCGTTCAGTTGACAGAACCGGACTTGTTTGCGATCCTGATTGCGCTCTGGTTATAACAGTGAAGGCGAAATGTCGGCGATGTTGGGATTTTTGCCTCCTGTAGGAACTCTTGCAGATAGAGCCCTTTAGGAACTGCAACGGTTGCGGCGATGTACTCTTCTTCGGCTGGCGATTGGGCATCCAGCTCTTGCTTCTGGGGATTTCAGGAGATTGGGCCTATTGGCTCGAGGCGGAAGTCGAACCCCGTTCGTGTCCGTCGATTGGCAGGGTCAGCGGCGTGATCTGCGTCCGGGTAACATGCGAGGTTGAAGGATAGTGTTGTCAGCGTTGGATAGGAGAGGCCGATGTCAGGTGTGGAGATGAAGTACTGTAGGGTGCGCTCCACATCCAGCAGATTCTCTGCCACTGGCTGGCATGAGTACTGGGTCGGCTGGCTGGCGATGTATGAGAGGTCGGGTCGGCAGGTAATAGAGGCGAACAGTATGCAGCCAGTTGCTGTTGCTGTTGCTGCGTACAACAGAGGTTTGTTGTCTGGTTTGTAGTTGGCGCTGGACGATCGATATGGAGTTGAGAGTGGTGCAGGTGGAATTTTGAATTGATCGCCCAGTTGCTCCGCGTACTTAGAGGCTGAGAGCTGAATTGCTTTTGGCGCGTAGGAGATGTTGAGTCCCAGGAACTGCGTTACGTTGTGGTTGATGGTGATGTCGACGCGCTGCACCAGGTTCTTCTCGAACTGGTTGAGAAGCGCGTTGTTCGTTCCCATGTACAGCAGGTCATCGACAGACACTGTACGGAGGATGTAGTCGCCATAGAAGTGAAGGCGATACATTCCCGGGTTGTGCAGCAGCTGCTTGAAGTAGATATTGAGCAGGATTTTGTGCAGGTGCTACTAGAGTCGCGGCGCCTGCTTGATCCCTTAGAGGGATTTCTTCAGCTGGCAGACCCTTCTCCATAGGTATGCGACTGCTCCACGAAGATTTTTGCGTCGACCAACGCGTACAAAAACGTGTTCTTCACGTTGATCTGCTACAGTAGTAGATGCCTCGCGGCAACGATGGCGAGTAGGATTCGCACAGAGGTGTGGCGACTGACTTGGGCGAAGGTTTGGTCGAAGTCGATGCAGTGGCGCTGGTCGTACCCTCGTATGACCCACCTGTCGGCAGCGAGTTTTACGCGAAAAAATACCAGTTTTTCCGATAGTACTCTCTTCCCTTTCTATGTTGCACGATTGACTAGGACCCAGGTGTCCCATGACTCCAACACCTTCAGCTCCGCGTCCATGGCTGCTTGCCACTCCTTGGCGTGAGGGCAGGTTAGAGCGTGCCTTGGATTTTTGGGCTCGACGACGTGTGGAGTGTTGGCCGTGGCGGCGTGTAGGCTGAGCAGTTGTATTGCCGTGACGTTCGTGCCGTGGTGTTCCTCAGAGGTTACTTCTTGCACGTCGTCGTCATCGCTTTCTAGTGTAGGTGGAGCACTCCTTGCCGGGTTTCGGCGCCTTAACGACCCAGGCGTGTTATCGTCATCATCGTCGGCGTAGACTCGTGCTGCTCCTGCCGCTTCGTCTTCATGAAACTTGGTAAGCGTGAGGCGTTCATAGAAGAGAACATCTCGTGCAGGTGCAATCTTGTTGGTCTGTAGGTCCAGAATCAACCAACCCTTGTATTCGGATGCTAAGATGAATCCCCCAGTGCGCACGGTCAATGAAATTGCTGATGGTTGTTGAGGTTGGCATGTATTGCACCATGCATCCCTAGACCTTCAACGTGGAAGTGTCGCCCTTCGTCTCGGTCCACTTCATGTGAGGTGAGAGGTTTCTTATGTTTGCTGTGGTGGAGAGGAGGTTGTGCAACCTCACGGCGTGATGCATAGCGTAGGTATTTGATGGGGAGTCCGGACTGCTTCAGCAGAGCACGCACCTTCGTCATGAGAGTGCGGTTGATGCGCTCGGTGACGCCTTGCTGCTGGTGAGCACAGGGGAGTGAGATGCGATGCAGGATCCCTCTCTGTGAGGAAGTTCTGCAGCTCGTTGCTACGGAACTCTGTTGCACCATCAGTCTGCCATATCTTTAGCTTCTTTCCTTACTGTCGCTGTGAGTGAGCCAGCCAGATGCGGAACACTTCGAAGGCCTTCGCGCGGCTGTTCATGCTCGCTACCCAGACGTAGTGCGAGTTTGCTTCCACGAAGGTGGGAGTGTAACACTCGTCGTTAATTCCTCCATAGCCGACAACAAGAAATCCATTGTAGACCATGTGCAACTTTTTGTAGCGGTTGGTGCTTGGCTCGAGCGTGGTGCCAGAGGGCATCTGTAGGGCAGACGGTGCAGGTGTGATCGAGGCGGGGATGGGAGATTTTGAGGTGGTCGCCCGAGAGGAACTATAGTTCCTGTTGGTGTTGTCTCTCTTTCTGCTTCAATCTCTCTCTCTCTCTCTCTGCCTCCTCTAGTTATTCTCGGGTGAGGCCTTCCCATCCAGTTGCTTCCGTATTGCCGTATCCTCCGCCGCCGGTGCCCTAGCCATAGCAGTGTTGCCCCATCCTCCTGTCGCAAATGCCCATGTTCCGCCTGAATTCTGTGTTCCTCCTCCGCCCTATCCGGTTGTCTCGTTACGTGTTGCTTCGGGGTCCCAGCCTAATGCGATTCTCTCTTTTACAAGTTTCTCCTATTCTTCGCAGTCTTGTCGCTCCTCTTCTTCTTAACGCTAAGTTCCTCCAGCTTGTCGGGGTCTTTCCATTCCTTGTTCTCTTGGACGTGGATGTCCCTTGTGTAAGGTAGCGCCTGCCCTTTTGCGTCGTATGCCCCCCTTGATTCTCCCCTCAGGATCTAGCAGAGGCGATCCGTTGCAGATCTAGGGCAAGGCTGACCTTGCATGCCAAGTTCTTCTTGTGAAGAGCCGAACACGCGATAAGAGACAGTGGTGAGTTCTGTCTCTGTCATCCCTTCTTCGGGTGGCGCAATGCTCTCAGCTTCTTAAATTGCCGCCAATCCACTTCGAGCAACATTGATGCAGGAGGCAATAGGTGTGAAGCATGTGGTGCACAACCCATAAGGGCCTCTGTGTAGGCTGTCAGTATCAAAGTAACGAACGAGAATGAATGAACTATGAAACAGTTGGGTACAAGTACTAACCCTAATCGGGTTGTACCCCTTATGGGCTACTTCAGCATAGCCTACACAAATGTAAAAGCTATGATGTTCTGACACACCCCCATAGGCAAAGTGGGGGAGAACAAGTGGTCACAAGACCAGTCAAGAAAGGCAAAGCAAGCTCAGGATGGATCACAAAGTCACCACACAGTCCGAGCACAAGCAAAGGGCCACAAGGCCAGTTCACATGCAGAGGGATATATAACAGAACAAACAATACAGTGATCATACCCTAGCAAGTGAAAGCATGCAGGTATATATAAACATCACAGTACAAGCAGAGTCAAGCAGTAAGCAAGTGAGGCAAAGTAGGCACAAGGCCTAACACAGTAGAGAAGCGCTGATGATCACCAGGCGGAAGTGCCTTGGTGAATATATAAGCAGTGTTGGCCCTAGTGGCCACATACGCAAGACGAAGCTGGCCACGCTGCTGCAACTCTCGAGCAAGGAAGTATTGCAGAGCGATGTGCTTTATTCTGTGCTCCAGTCTGTGCTCCTGACACAAGGCAATCATGGCCTTGTTGTCTACGTACAGAACTGGAGGCGAACAAGGCCGCTCTCCCA